GTACACGCACGTGCCTCGCCGCCGATCGTAAAATTCAATTCATCATAACTCGATCAATTTTTAAAATATAGAATTGAAATTTGGCATAGAGGTGTATTATAGTCATGTTAACAACATATCTTCTGATGTCGCTTATTGTATTCGGTACTTTTAAAGATTTTGTCTGGTGACGCTTGTTGTCGGTTGAAGACGCTTTTAAGGAGGACCCAAACTTTGGAGTATCAGGTCAGCATCTCAGGAAATCACATTGTATGGCAATGCAAGCCTAAACTCAATTGTGTTACATTGTATGTACAGTAATAGCTTCTAGCGAAGCAACTACTTCATTAACATCCATGTTAGAAGATTTCCTACACTGTAAATATTTTTCTTATCTTAGAGATTTAGGATTTGCATATAATATGATTTTGCAATATTTCAACATTAAAAAGGAAAATATTAAAGAACAAAGCAACCTTAAGATTTTCGAAATGAAAATTTAACAAAACATAACAAACGGGTCAATTGTATAACATAACTTATTTCTTGCACCTGTGTCGATGTGGTATCATTTCACCATTTTGATAACTAAATACTGATATATGAGATACAAAAATGTATCTAAAATTGAAATATATTGTATGAGGGTTCTTATTATCGGAATTAAAGGAGTTTCCCCAGTCAACTACAAGTAAATGTTTAGATTCAACTGGGGAGAACCGTGGCAACTTGTCATGAATAACGTTATGTACAGAATTGAATTGCATGTACCAGTATATGGGTGCAATATTGTTTGTGACAATTGTATTGCAGGATCATAACTTATGTTGATATAAAATTAAGGATATTTCTATTTTACTGGTATATATCTTGGAATATAAATAAAAAATCCAATGTGATAAGAAAACCAGAGGGAGAATGTAAATATAAATTCAAAGGTTTAAAAAAATTGAAAATGGAAAGAAATCTTGAAAGAAAAGGTCAGTTGTGCTACATGTATACATATTTTTATAGTGTAGTGGTCATCACATTCGCCACTCTGTAGTGGGAGACCCAGGTTAAAATCCTTGTGGAAATAATAGCACAACTTGAAATTATGTAAATACTGCGAACATATATAAACATAAACCACTAATTATATACAATGTACAACTCATTTCCCATTGCTTGGTACATTTTATATAAATATATGTGTCCTTGTTAATTTGTTCTTTACTGCATTTATACAACAACAGGACATTCGAATATAATATGATTTGTGAACTTAAGATAGAAATTTGATTTGTTTTAATTATCAAAGTATTGGTGTTGACCTCTTTGAATGCCTTTTGTCCGTCATAGTATCCAATTCAGTTAAATTTTGAAGGAAAGTTCAATGGTCGAATGCAAGCAAAATTTATGTGAATAATATTTGGATATAAACTGCCAGGGGTTTGAGACCAAAAGAGATAAAATTGACTAAAATGTCAACAGTCTTGTTATTCAGGCACAGAGATGCTAGAATCAACTACACTTTATAGATGGAAAGGTACTGTAGGCCTATTTCAAATTTATGAATATTTTGCTACCGCTGGATCATTCATTTCTCCTTAAGAAAGAGTTAATGTTAGGCTAAAAAAAATATGTTTCAGGCAACATTCCAGAGAAAAATGTGGTTGGTCACTAAGCAAGTAATTTTTATCTTTAATTTTTTTAATTTTCATGGATCAATATATATTTACAGGGTTATAACAAATGTAAGGAAAATAATTTCTATGCATTTCAATGATTATTATTCTGTCAAGAATGTGGTAAGGATCCCATGACCATAACAGGAAGAAAGTTTATGTCATCTTTGCCGGAGTATTAAAATGATCTTCATGGATACAAAGTAGGTGATAAAATGTTCCCTAAGGTCGAAAGGAAAATGTAAGGTAGGTCACGAGCAAGTTTTGGCCTTACTGTAGTTTATATGGGGAAATTACACTTTTGGGTATATTTTGTTTACTTTCAGCTGGAACAAATTTAAATTTGGTTGGAAAGACTATCATGTGACTGAATTTTGATGGTGTGAAATATAAGAACCTGACCCTTCCCTACGGCTTGAAGGGAGGGACCAAAGAGGGCAAATTGGCTGAAATTCCAGATATGCTAGAATAAAACACTCTTCATGGATGGAAAGGTCCTAAGTCGCTATATCTGAAATCGTAATTTCATTACCCCTGTGTATTTCATTCCTCCACTTATGTACCCGCCATAAATGGTCACTTAAACATACATTTCTCTCAAGGAATTCAAAAAGCCTTTTTTGGATTATTATTATTATTATTATTTGTTTTTTACATCACTACAACAAGTGATATAATTGCATTACAACTCAGCTCCATGTTTCTCTCGTATAACTTGGTGAGATCACTGCAATGGTCCTGTGTATATCTATTGCAGCATCCGCTTCTAAAGATACTGGTACAATATTATCATGTTTCAGGTTCAAAATATATTCACAATATAATGTTTTCTTACATTAAAATGTAAATGATTACATTGTTTTATCATTTGGTTATTCGAAAGGAATGAATAGTGCAGACATTGTTTCTGAAATATTGGAATATTGAGAAATTGAATGCTGTTTTAGAGTTACAAAGTGGGAACCATAATTATATATAATTACTTAATATTGATTTAGAATCATCTTTCATAACTACTTAATACCGATTTAATATCATCTTTGAGCTAAGGTCTTTAAACAACAAGAAATACAATCATGCTAGCCCCTTCAAGGGGTCACCCATACATGGCCGAGCTGTACATCATTGTAATTAATGAACTATAGTTTGAAGGTTGTTTCGAAAACAAACTAATACAAACCCAACTTATGTTTTAATTTAAACATTGTCATTTTTTTTACTAGCCTGAGGCATTGTGCTTGGGAATTTAGGCAAACATGTAGATTTTCATGAACCGGAAAAAAGTACATTGTTTGATTATTTGTTTAGTCTACGAAGGGTTCTCGTATGCACTTCGCCCGTCTGCCGTCCGAGAAGTTTTTAAGGGACTTATTTTCTATACTATTTCACCTGGAGTAACCAGATTTTATGTACAAGGTCATCTTTGGATGGCACAGTGAAGAAGCAAGAAGGTCACTTTCACCTCACTGTGTCCTATGAATTTACCATTGAAATTAACTTTAAAAAAAAGTTGGTCCGGGCCATATCTTCTCTACTATTTCACCTGGAGTAACCAGATTTGATGTCGAAGGACATTTTGGGATGGAGGAGTGAAAAATGCAAGATTTAGGTCACTGTGACGTATGACTTGACCTTTGACCTTTACTTTTTAAAATATTTGTACGGAGCATATCGTCTATGCTATTTCACCTGGAGTAACCAGATTTTATGAACAAGGACATCTTGGGTTGGCGGAGTGACCTATATGCTTCCTGACAACATAAATGTATTCTTTGTGTATAAATATTTTTACCGGTGGCCAAGGGGGTCTATGGATTGCCTTGCAATACTTTCCCTTGTTAATAAATATTTTCGATGTGCAGTAGATCCTATTTCTTTCATTTTGTCTTGAGAAAATCTTGCCTTAAAGGGATCAGACGATATATGTCTAAGGGTGTTATAATAATAGTAAATTAGTAACAACAAAAACTCCTACATGGAATACCGAGATCTACACTATCATCACAAAGGTTACTGAACTATGTGCTCTCGCTTATAGGCAATACCTATTTCATATTAGGTAACTTACGACCGTAGATGTGAATATGTCACAATATTTTACTCGTTTCGAAATCCATTGGTAGTGTCAACCTCCGCAACTTTACGAGTTGCCTGTCTCTGATGTGGTATGTTTTTAAAGATTTCAATATGACATAACATTGTAGTTTGTGAGTCAAGACATTTTTAGTTTTCTCCAATCCATTTCTTTTATGCATTTCGAAGCAGGTTGTAGTCATTTGTAAAATATTTTCTTATCAACAATATTTGTAACCCAAATAAATGTAGCGATAGCTAATATTGTCATAATATATGGTTGACAAACTGTCTCAGTCATTACATCCAACCCGAGAAAAAGCCGATACCAAAAGGTAAATAATACAAAATGGTCGCCTTTTAGATGATGGCCCAGGAATAGAGAGAAAATGTGATACAAATGGATTAAACAGGTATATTTATGCACCAATAATGATGCTTTAATATCTTTGATGTTCAGACATTAGTTTCATCACTTTTTTAATCGTGAAAACACGTACATATATGACGTACTTTAACACTAAACCATAATTGTGTTATAATTCTCCACACTACTCGTAATAGTTACATGTGTACACATAAACAGTTCACTCCTCTGAGCTTTAATAATTAAACCTACATTCTTACAACTTGCTTTATTTATAAAAGTCACTCAAAACAAGGCAAACCAGAGACAGTTGAACCAGGTAAATTTTATTCAGTGGTAATGTCTGCACACCGGACCCCACTACCAGTTGTAACCACCTGTGTATACCTATTGAATCCGACCTGAGCGTACTGGTCTCCACAACCACAAATAATTACCATTGCGTTTCTCCTTTCTGTCATTATATATGTTTTTTTCAAATAATCCCGTTTTTGTTCGTGGTCTCACTCCAACATTGACACGGTATTGAAAAGGCTTACTGTCTGCCATTAACACACCTTAGCATACCTTCCAAACAAACCCACACTTGCAGTGACATACAAAGCTCCCCTGGTGTTGTATTCATTTGCAAAAAGTGGGCGGTAATTATTTGTTTCAGCTTTGTGGTTCTTTACATACGTGATTTAAAGCAGTAATTATATTGCTGACGCTAAGTTACAGTAGTTGTGTACAAAACAATTTTATAAATGATTTCGTAAATTGTGAAATTCAATTAGTAATCCGCCTTTTTCGCGGAAACATTTATGTTCCTTACAGCGGTTCTGAGAATTCGATTAAACTCTTGTCTGTGTGGTTCATTCTGTATAGGTGGCATTGCGCATGTGCTAACAAAGTTACTCGAGCAATTTCATGGACAGTAGTTACGGGTATTTTGCACGGAACATTCCATATATATGATGATCTAGGCAAGAAGTTTGTACAAAATACTTAAGCAATCTGTCACCACGTGACAACATTATGCTATATAAGGTTCCGGATCGTCTGCTGGATAACCAAACTACTCGGTAGTGAAGCGGACGTAAAACGTATCAAGTAATCGTGGCATGCGTTTGTAGTCTAATACTGACCGTCAAGATTGTATTAGAGGACTTATAACCTGTCAGTTTACTCTGTCAACAATACTATACCGCGGATAGTGTTATATCCTGTTACCTCTTGGACTAATGTGGAATTTTGCTTTTCAAACGGATATGTTGCCTTTGTAGTCGGACAAAATTGTAAGTAGCAGGTTTTTCTTTACCATATTTTGATGATTAATTTAGTAGTATGAATGTTATGTTTTATACACGGATAGTGTACGTATTAAATGTGTTACAACGTCTTAAGACCGACTGGTTCCTTTGTCAAGCTATGACTGGATGACTATTTGTATTGTTTTCCTGTACAACGATGTGTCACTCGACTGCGGGATGTTCCGCATAGCGATAAAGTGTGTATACACACTATCAAATAAGTTACTGATTGGGTGTAGACCTAGCCTTCCTTCCATCTATGTCGTGTTTTGTACAAATGACTTAGTTGGAGTTTCCTTTGTGAAGCTCTGTTCATGCTTTGAGCTTTCCTAGATATATACATTAAGTAATGGCCCATGAATAAATATGATTTCGTATTTATACTTAGATCTTTCCTAATTTAGTTAAGTTGCTATAATTAAGCCAGATTTACATGGCTATGTACATGTAGTACTAATGGACATATAAAAAAACAAAATGCTTTGAAACTACTTTTATCGACAAGTGGGTAGATATACGGTCATATACATGCACGTACTGTGCACGAAGATACAACGTAGATAAATGAACCTTACCTGTTACCAGTTACCTGTCAATTACCAGGTAACGGGTACATTTTTGTATCACGTTTTTTTATGAAGGAGGTGTGGGATTTCCACACGAAGCCTTACAGGCACAATTAATACAGAAAAGGTCCAATTTGTGTTTGATTATTGTCAAATTATCGATGAACTCTAATAAGCAATACATTCAATATTATTCACTATATGTTTGCATACTGTGACTGTACCTGAAAGTACAACTCATTATTTTTTTCAGCTATGTTGTTCTTTACATATATGCTTTAAAGCAATCATTAAATCGCTGACGCTAGGTAACAGTAGATGTGTACAAAATCATTTCATAACTAATTTCGTAAATGATGAAATACGATACAGCTTTAGCCTTTATACAAACTTATTGCCGATTAATGCTAGTGGTGAGGATGACAACAACATTCACTGTACCTGATGTTCATCCTAATCAACAAATAACAAATAATGTAAACAAGGGTAAAATGTGGCCATAAGTTTAGTACAGCGAAAACAACAGGCTATGTCGAAATTGATTTATATATTCAGTTGCAGCTTTAAGCGATCACTAAATTATCACGTGCGCTGTTCACTGCATATTGTATCTGGCATGATATAAGCATGTGCTTGAACAGTTACTCGAGCAATGTCACGGACAGTAGTTACGGGTATTTCCACAAAGTGATGTCTGCCCGGGATGACTCATATATGTGATGATCTAGGCAAACGGTGCTGCGCATGTGCTGTACAAAGTTCTAAAGCAATCTCTGTTACGTCACAACACTATGCTCTATAAATCGCTACCTTGTCTGAAATAACTTTGTCTTCTACTATATACCGTTGCGGCCGCATTAGACGACTTACAACCTCTCAATTTTCTTTGTCAACAAAACCTAACTGCGGATAGTGTGTAAACCTGTACCTCTTGGATACATGTGGATTATTTTCCTTTTCAAACGGATATGTTGCCATTGTAATCGGACAAAATTGTAAGTAGCAGGTTGTTTTATTTGTTTTTTTCTTTACCAAATCCTGACGATTAATGTAAACGAATTATTAAGTAGTATAAACGTTATGTTTTATACACGTATAGTGTACGTATTAAACGTGTTGCAACGTCTTAAGACCGACTGGTCCCTTTGTCAAGCTATGATAGGCTGACTTTTTGTATTATTTACCTGTACAGTGATGCAGGATGTTCCGCATAGCGATAGAGTGTGTTTACACACTATTAAATAAGTTACTGGTTTAGTGTAAACCTAGCCTTCCTTCCATCTATGTCGTACAGATGACTTAGCTGGAGTTTCCTTTGAGAAGCTCTGTTCATGTTTTGAGCTTTCCTAGATATATACTTTAAGGCATGACCCATGAATAAATATAATTTAGCTGCATGTACATGGCTATGCACATGTGGCACTAATGGACAGATACAAAAGAAGTAGTTTTGAAACTACCTTTATCGACAAGTGTGTAGATATACGGTCATATTCATGTACTGACTGAGCACGAAGGTAAATACTAGATGAAGGAACCTTACATGTTACCAGTTACCTGTCAGGTAACGGGTACAATTTTGTATCACGTCTTACCTATGAAAGAGGTGGGGAATTTCCACACGAAGCCTTTCAGGCACAATTGATACAGAACAGGTGCAATTTGTGTTTGATTATTGTCAAACTATCGATGAACTCTAATATGCAATACATTCAATATTATTCACTATAAATTTGTGCACTGTTACTGTACCTGAAAGTACAACCTCATCATTGACAGTTTTACAATCATTTCAATTGTGTGTAACATGCATTAAAGAGTTAGAAAAAGTGCAAAAATACTGATTTGTTATCATATATGTATATGACGTACCTTAATTCAAATTGAGCCTTCCGGTTTAATTTTGATTTCATTACATCGGTCGACCGATCTAATTTTATTGCACATATGTGCGCGTGAAATTCCATAACGATGCGATCGAGTATTAAATCTCCCAGTTGTGCACACTATGTTAATGGTATATATGCTCGATGTGTTCATGGTAATTGTGATGCGCTGTGCTTTCAAGCGTACTTTCGATATACACATTTTAATCTGCATAACAATATAACGTGAAATTACTGATGTTCGTGGGGGTTTTAATATCGTTGATTTTGTGGGTAATTTGCATTCACTAATTCATATGTCCGCGAAGTGATTCCAAGTTTGGTATACAGCAGTTTTCCGTTTGAGCTGGCTATCGTAATCCACGAATGCATGCACCTACGAAATGATGTTTTGTCAGACACCACGAAATTTGGTCCCCGCAAAATTATCTCATTTACAGTGATATAAATATGTTTAACTGAATCAATGGTCTAGGCGTTATTATATAAATATGATCAAAAACGTATCGTTATTTCGATTGCGTCGTTATTTAAGGTAAAACTAAATAATGCTATATTACAAATTACAAAACTTTTTTTTANAAAAAAAAAAAAAAAAAAAAAAAAAAAAAAAAAAACTTTTTATTGAGTTGACTATGGTATTCCTAAACATTTTCTTCATATTGTTTGATAAGTCTTTTAGAAAGTCTATGCATGACAGCAAGTAACAATACGTAACCTATCATCTCCATCAAAAAACTGACCAGTGAAGCATAATGGTGTAAAATATGTACGAGTTGGCAATATATATAAAATCAAAGTAGATTCAGATTCGCTGCATTTAGCGTATGTCAAGTGATCTGTTTTAGATGTTCGAACACTAACCTAATTAAAGAATTTGTCGTAGAACAACTTGTGTGTTTACTCAGTCACAGCAGTTAAAGGATACACATACATGTTATAAAAATATGCATAAATTTAAATTTAGTAGTTTGCTGGTAAAATAAAGGCATAATTACATTGCTATTGAACGTAAAAGGAAGAAAGATTTTTTAAAGGTTTCAGGCTACACTCGATACATTTCGCAATTGCAAAATGATATAAAAATAGCACAATTGTTGTCTATCTTTAGAAAAACAGTAACACAGTAATATATACAACTCGATACTGTAAACGACTTTAAAGTATCCCAGGTCTAGCAACTTTACATTGGTAGTTGAATAGTTTATTTAGGATAACTGGCGAGATGTGAAACATGTCCAAACGATATATATGGGTGGGGTTTGATTGTTATGGTGTGAAATTTCTTTTGAAGACGTTTATTATTTCTGTCTTTGGTTACGAACGATAACAATCGCAATTAGAATGAACACAGTCGCAACTAGAAAAGAAAACATCTTTTCATTGCTCTAAACGATTCGCCTACATATCTTTTAACATATTGTCTAGTGCATTATACCCCTTCAGATCCGAACACCAAAAAGTGTACTAATTAGACCTCTGTTGGAATTGTATATGCATGCAGTTGAATAAATAAGTATCTTTTACGAAGAATTTTGATCATAAAGTGAAAAATAAACAAAAGAATCCCAAATATTCAAAAAACACCATCACATACTCAATTCATTTTCCGTACGCAGACGTATATATCTCAATATCAACGGAGTATATCCAAAGCAGAAAAAAGGTCTATCTGATCGAAGACGTGATGAAATTGTATTTGAAGGGCTTTTTCATTAGATTGAGATCACAGTTTGAGAAACAAAAGACGCTTTATATATCACGGCCAGTCACCGTGTATCTTACTACAGGCACGGGTCCCAAACACATAAATAGCTAAATCAGGCAAATCAATCTGATAACTGGTGTCTACAATCCGATCCCCACTTGTCGTGGTATCCACCCGTGTATACATAAAACTCATACTAAACCCTAGTTGTCTCAAAATAACCATAGCGTGACGGACCTTTCTTGTGTGCTTTTGTAACGTTTCACTGTAGGCTCACTCCAACTCTCGTGACATTGATAACGACTCTTTTCCGTCATTAACACAACGTCTAACCTTGCAATTATTGCTATCTACAATGATTCATTCCTGTGTCCCTGATGGTTAACCATGTATTAGTAACTATCCCGTCAATGAATAAATTAAAGGTAGGTTTAAAGTGTACTCTTTCACAACAAACCACTAAAATACTAGATATGGAGCAAGAAATCTCCTTGCCAACCAACCCGCTGTCACATCAATGACAATTGGCTTATTTTTTCGTAATTTATTTGTTAGTCGCTTCTCCAAATAGGCAAAAAGGATAACATTTCTAGGCTCGAAGATAAATCAGCTGCAAGGAGCAAAACATAAAAAAGACAAAAGACCAAACTTGAAGAACAACTTGATTTCATAAAAATGGAGAAGAATATAAATTCCTTTAGAATTCAGGCAAAATCAACATGTCATGCTGTGATGAATCATCGTTGCTATCACAGGATTACTGTAATCCTTTTTATCTATTATTACAGTTAACTTCTTTCGTTGTAAACAATGCCTATATCATAT